GGAAAAATCAATTAGAAAATCACTAGCTTCATTTTTGATGACGCACGACTTGTATGACTGTTTCCAATACAATATGATTGGAAAAATCAATCAGACAATCACTAGCTTCAACAGGTATAATATTTATATTGGTATGATGATGGGTGTTTTGTGCATACCTATGTAACGTCTAATTCCCAATATATTTTTATTTTGATTTTGTCTTTCAATTTGTGTGCATATGAGACTTAGATTTGTGGCAGGCACGATGTACTTTATTTAGGGCATAATGTGCCTTATCTAGCAAGTGAAAACATAATTCTTGAACCTTGGGTCCTATTTAAATGCACTAAACCCTAGAGATTTCCTCATTTAACGGCCTCCACTCTCAGAAACGTCCCTTTTGAAAACCCTAGGCTCCCTTTGTGTTGTTGATATAATTTCATCCTTTTTGTGAAGCTTGAAGGCTGAGGAAGTTCTCTTTGATATAAGGAAGGTTGATTCCATACTAGATCCAACAAGTTCACCACATCTATAGACCATTATAAGTATAAAATTCCATACTAGATCCAACAAGTTCACCATGTCAATGGTTAGTGTGTCAGAGTTTGACTTTCTGCTCTACTGTGAGGGCTTAGAGATAGTTGTATCATGGATGCTTGGGGGTTTTTGGCATACGTTATTGACACTCAAAAGGATAAGAAGAAGTCCGTTGCAGAGGTGTCGATAGTGTGTGAGTTCCTAGATGTTTTCCCTGAGGATTTGTTGGGTTTGCCTCCAGATAAATAGGTTGAGTTTAGGATTGACTTGATTCCGGGCGCGATTCCGATAGCCGAAGTGCAATATCATCTTCCAACTCTAGAGATGTAGGTGTCACACCCCCAAACCAAGGATGGCAGAAACGTCCGGGGGTGGAGGGCTTCATGTATAGTATCACAACAACGAATATAATAGTGCTCAAAGTAAATACAACTATCATAAATATAATTGAAAAGGTTACACCATAGAATAAGTTTACATGTTTCAAAATCAATTACATTATGATGACAAAATGAACTGTTTGACGATTTATTGTCCCATCCTCAAAATGCTGTTGGTTTTCCTGTTTCACTGATTTCCTGAGAATACAAGTAGTTTTGAAAAAGTGTCAACAATTAAGTTGCTGAGTTCATAAGAGTTTTGTTTGAGGAAAAAGCCGTTTTCATTGTAAAAGTGATAGAGTATTATTCCAGAAAATCCAATATTTTCCTTATAAAAGTCATGTAGTCCTAAATCCCAGGACCGAGAATATATTTGTGTTTTGTACTTATAATGTTCATAATAGTAATGTGTTTCCAAAGAAAATCCAATATTTTCCTTATAAAAGTTATGTAGCCCTAAATCCCAGGACCGAGAATGTGTGTGCGTTTTGTACTTATAACGTATTTGTAGTTTTAAATAGATAAAACCCCTTTTCAAAGTAGAATTTTCCTTGTAAACTTGAAAGGTTGTTAACTACCTATGTGAGTCGCTATAACCATACTATGACGAGAAATAACCTGCACAACGTTTTTCAGACATTAAGATAGTATGACTCTTGTCACCCGCAGACCTGCCGGTCCGGCTGTAGCTAGCAGCGAGGTGTGGGGTGTCAATCCCAATGTAGATCTATACACAATTATCACGCTCTCCCTACAAGAGACTCTGGTTATAACTTACAGGAATTAGAATCCCGTACTCGAACGTACGGGGAGAGAATTGCCTCACAACCTAAGTTAACTAGTTTACACATAGTTTGATATTAAACCTCTTCCGTGGAGGAAGTAAAATCACCTTTTATGAATACATTAGTGATATGAAATCCTTAAACTATTACTATTATAGTTTATCATGTAGTATATGAAAAACCCATTTGTTTTGAGAGTAAAACCTTTTTCATGTAGTTAAAATCCATAAACTATGCTTATTGAAGTTTATTATATGTGTTCGAAATGAATGAGTAAACCTTATCATGAATGACTAAATTTCAGTTTATGATGATAAACTAACAAGAAAATACATTCATTATTTAGAACTTATTGTTATGCACTTTGCTCAACATACTACAAAGTGTTATGAAAGTTGTAAGGTGTTAACTAGTTTTTAACCTTTCTACACTGTTTTAGAAAAATTATAGAAAAATCATACGAAGTATAAAACTGAATCCGTAAATTCTGAGAGTTCACAAAATGTGTCTAGTTTATTCATAATTTTTATTATGATTTTTAGAAGTCTTTAACTTGTGTTAAATGTTCATATTCACAAACTGGTTCGAATTCGTTTCTGAAATGATAGGAAGTTTTGTAAAAATCACCATAAATCGTAGAAAAATCGTATGGAGATGTGCAAGTAGTTATTTTAAAGGTATGAAGCTGAACTATTTGCATATTAAACAGTTTTGAAGGATATTAAGTTTAAGATAGTCAAAACAGTCCGTGAATAAGACTCAAATTTTCTGATGAAAGCTGTTGTTTGAGTTTAGTTAAGTTTTTGGTGTTTTAACTTGTATTCCCCCCCTTAAAACTTGAAGAAAACATGAAAATGTAGGGGTATGAACTCACCTTGAGTGATTTCAGTAGATGGATGATGAAGAAAAGAAGTGTTCAACTCAAGAACACTTAGAAGATTGCTTGAAGATTTGAAGTTCTAACACAAAGATGATAAAGTTTGTGTAAGAAACCTTTGATTTAAGTAGAAAGGAGTGAAATAATCATATGGAGGATGATAATACTTACCAAAAGTAGAAGAAAAGCTTGGAGAATAACCTTGAATCTCGAAATTTAGAGAGAGAAAGTGAGAGAGAATGAAGTTTATTCTTTGGTGGAAAATGAGAGAAAATAGAGGAGAGAGGAGAGTTTTCCAGCTCTTCACCAAGTGTGTGGCTGAAAAATGGTGGGAAAAGTACTATGGAATGACTAGGTATGGTGGAAGGACAATGGTGGTTCATGGAGTGGGCATGGGATGGTTGCTTGTGTTATACACTAAAGCAAGGTCAACACTCCACCTCTAAGCCATACCCATTAGATTTTTATTCCTAAGTAAGGATTTTCTTAAAAATATAATTAAATATGAATATTTAGGGTTTATTATGTTAAAATACGAGTTTGGGTGAAAATCCCGTGTTAAAATCTCGAAAAACGGACTCAAAACGCTAAAAATATTGGAAACCGGGCAAAAACTGCCAATTTCCGAAGTTCAGGGCCGGAGGTTCGGTCGTAGCCCTTAGAACCGAAAGTAGAAGAGGAACCGAGAGTAGGGTTCGGCTGCGTAGGGTCGCCTCTCGGACCGAAGGTGCAGTCCTCTCGGACCGAAGGTAGGAAGGGGAGAGCCGAATGTCAGGTCTCGGTTCGGAATGGTCAGGGGACCGAAAGTGGAGTAGGAGCCGAAAGTAGCAATCTCGGACCGAAGGTCAAGATCTCGGACCGAATGTGGCCTCTCGGTCCCTTAGCAGGTTCGGTTCTCAGGAGGTGGTTTCGGTTCTTAGGAGGTTTTGGTTCCTTAAGGGAGGTTCGGCTCCTTGAGAGGGTTCGGCTCCTTAGAAGGGTTCGGCTCCTTAAGGCTGTTTTTCGCGTAGACTTCCGTTTTCGAGCGTTTTTCGACTAAATCGAGGGTCGGGATGCCCTAAGTGATTATAAGAAGTTGAGAGAGATTTCGAGAGACATTTGGGAGAGATTTGACATACTTAGAGACATTTGACATACTTGGAGAGATTTGGGAGAGATTTCACATACTTGGAGAGATTTCTCGTACAGAGAGAGATTTGGGAGAGATTTCACATTCTTGGAGAGATTTCTCATACAGAGAGAGATTTGGGAGAGATTTCACATTCTTGGAGAGATTTCTCATACAGAGAGAGATTTCACACACTTGGAGAGATTTCTCATTCAGAGAGAGATTTGGGAGAGATTTCACACACTTGGAGAGATTTCTCATTCAGAGAGAGATTTGGGAGAGATTTCACATACTTGGAGAGATTTCTCATTCAGAGAGAGATTTGGGAGAGATTTCACATACTTGGAGAGATTTGGGAGAGATTTCACACACTTGGAGAGATTTATCATTCAGAGAGAGATTTGGGAGAGATTTCACATACTTGGAGAGATTTCTCCTACTTAGAGAGTTTTGGGAGAGTCAGAGTGAAAGAGATTAGGAGAGACTTCTTTTGTGACCTTTTTGAGTGTTTGGCTTCCCAACGCAAGGTTCTTACACTCTGTTAAGCCTTGTTATGAATGTTATACGCTCTCGAGGGGTATGAAATAATGTTTTATCGAGTAGATTCATCACTTACCGTAATTAGGGTTTAGAATTTCCAAACACGTGAAAACTCTAAGTGATACTTTATATTAAGATTGCGAGTAGTACAATAAGAATCATAATGGAAACCCTAATATACAAGGGTTAGATGAGTTGACAAGTTTGACTTGTTGACTTTAGTTGATTTTGACTTGGCCAAAAATTGACGATTATCACAGTAGAAGTTGTACAATCAGCTTCTGGAGGTGTTGGACAAGGGGTTTATTCAACCAAGCAGTTCGCCTTGGGCAGCACCAAATTTTTCATCAAGAAGAAGGATGGTTCGTACAGGATGTGCATCGATTATATGTGACACAGAACGAAAGCAAACAATAAGGAGAAACTCAAGTATTTTTATTACTGAAATTCAAGATGCCTCTAAAGGCTTACAAGTACCCTTTATATAGGGTGATACTAAATTTGGCAGGTACGACCAAATTTGGAAAACTGAAAGTGACAATAAATTCTAATAAATAACCTTCTTAATAGGAAACGGAATTTCAGAAAATAGGGAAAAAGGATACTCTGCCATTAAACCAGAATAAAAACGGAAATTGTTCGAAAATTATGGAAAACTGTTTGGAAGCCTAAATAGTGGAATTTGATGGTCAACCATTTGGTAGATCAACTTCGTTCACCTGCGAGGAGCTTCAGATCATCATTACCTTTCCATCGATATATCGCATGCCTCAAAATTCCCAAATCAAAAGTTATGCCTGTTTTAAGTTTAGCTTCTTTTGGCCCCTTTTGTCTTTCTCCCACTTGACCATAAACGCTTCTACCAGATCATCTATGTGCTCCGCATCATTCCCCCTCGATTGAGAGGAACTCGGCCTCAAGTTCTCAAAATACATAGACTCCTCTTGTGAGTAGTACTTGTAAATATCAGAGACGTTGAAAGTTTTAGAGGTGGACACTGAATTTGGAAGATCGACGATGTAGGCGTTATCATTAATCTTCCATAAAATATTGTAGGGACCATTCTTTTCTTGGCTCAGCTTACTATAAGTGCCCACAGGGAAGCGCTCTTTGCGAAGGTATACCATCACCTCATCTCCCACCTCAAATAACTTGGGACGCCTATGTTTGTCAGCAGTTTCTTTGTACTTAGCATTGGACTGAGAAATCTTCTCTCTCACCTCTTCATGAGTCTTCTGCATGTCTTCTATAATTTTGTTGGCTTTATCATCATTTTTCCCTAGAAGCTCAACCAAATCCACCACCGATCGTGGGGGTGTTTTGTAGACTGCATCGCACATTTTTGGTTTCTGCCGACATAAACATCGAATCATATTACTCAAATTATGGTTGACAACTTCAGTCTGCCCATCAGATTGTGGGTGGGAATTACTACTAAAGTAAGTTTAGTTCAGTTCCGAAATGTAGCCATAATATTTTCCAAAAATGTGCCAAAAATTTACTGTCCTAGTCAAATGTTATGGATTAGGGCACCCCGTGTATACGGACAACCTCCTGAAAGAAGAGTTTGGCCATATGGATAGCATCGGATGTCTTTTTGCAGGATATGAAATGGGCCATATTTGAGAACTAGTCTACAACCATGAACACTGAATGTACCCCTCTTTGGGTCCTAAGAAGGCCGAAAATAAAGTCCATATAAATATCCTCCCATGGTCTGAAAGGAATTGGTAGGGGCACACAAAGGCCTGTGTTTTGAGCCTTTCCTTTTTTTTTCTCTTGGCACGCGATACACCGTTCGACAAAGCTTCCCACATCTCATTTCATTTGTGGCCAAAATTACCTCTCTTCTACTACAACAATTGTCTTATCTCTTCAAATATGTCCTCATAATCCTTATACATACCGGTATTTGATTACTTTGTCTCTGAGGGAAGTTCTAGGAAGACACAAATGATTCCCTTTGAATAAATATCCTTCTAGAATGAGAAAGTCGTCCCTGTGTTGCTTTGTGTTGATTTCCTCCCTTATCACTTTAAAATTGCCATCAGTTTGATACAACTCCTTTAGTGTTTCCATCCCAACTACTTTGTTGTTGATGGTGACAAGAAGGGGTATTCTTCTACTAAGTGTGTCTGCTACTCTGTTGGAAGCTCTAGATGTGTGCTTGATGACGTAATTGAATTTTTCCAGAAGGCTTGTCCACCTTGCATGCACCTTGTTCAAGTGCTTTTGAGTCTAAAAGTATTTGAGAGCTTGATGATCTGAATAGACCACAAACTCTCGTTAGATCAAGTTGTGTTCCCAACTACGCATGGACTGAATTACAACATACAATTCATGTTCATAGGTGGACCATTTCTGACACGCTTCATTGAGTTTCTCGCTATGGTAGGCGACATGCTTTCCTTCTTGGGATAACGCTGCTCCAAAACCTGTTCCACAAGCATCATATTCAAGTTCAAAATCTTTGTTGAAGTTAGGCAATGAGAGAATTGGTGCGGTTGTCAACTTCTCCTTTATGAGATTGAAACTTTTTTCTGCTTCATCCGCCAACCTAAATTGTCCCTTCTTCATACAATCTGTGTTTGGGGCCATAATGCCACTAAAGTTTCTGACAAATATCCTGTAAAAGGTGGCCAAAGCATGGAAACTGTAGACCTCTGTGAGGTTCTTTGGGGAAGGCCAATCACAAATAGCTTTGAATTTATCTTCGTCCACATGAATGCATTCCGAACTTACAATATAACCAAGAAAAATAAGTCCATCAGTTAAAAACATACACTTTTTCAAATTGGCATACAACTCATTCTCTTGTAAGGTGCTGAATACGGTGCACAGATCCTCTAGGTGCTCCTTCTCTGTGTGGCTATAAATGAGAATGTCATCAAATAGACAACAACAAATTTTCCCATGAAGGGTCGCAAACCTAGGTCGTCAGTCTCATGAAAGTGCTTAGAGCATTTTCCAAGCCGAAAGGCATTACCAACCATTCATACAAACCATCCTTAGTTTTGAAGGCTGTCTTCCATTCGTCGCTAGGCCTGATCCGAATTTGGTGATGCCCAGTTCTCAAGTCTATTTCGGAGAATATCTTGGCACCTGAAAGTTGGTCTGGAAGATCATCTAGGCGGGGTATGGGAAAACAATACCTGACAATAATTTTGTTGCTTGTATCCACACACATTCTCCAACTTCCATCCTTGTCTGGGGCCAAGAGGGCAGTAACTGCACAAGGACCGGTGTTTTATTGGATATGCCCCTTGCTTAAGAGTTCCTCTACTTTCTCTCGTAAAATTTTAGATTCTTTAGGGTTCATTCGATAGTGGGGTGGGTTTGGAAGACTGGAACCAGGTACTAAATAGATTTCGTGTTGGATGTTTCGTAGTGGTGGGAACCTATTAGGGGTGTCTTCTTCAAGAACTTTATGGAACTCTTTCAACAATGGTTTTACCTTCTCATGGACCTCATTTGTTTGTTCCTCCTCTGCCCCCTTCACAACTGGGGCAAATGTCAACCCTGTTTCCTTGGTATCTGCATATAACTCATGGTGAGATTCTATAATAGTTAAAAGAGCTTTACCTTCTGACTTTGAAACCGAAGGACCATTATTCCCTGTGGGTAGTACAACTATCTTCTCTCCTTCCCAAGTGAAAATATACATATTCTTCCTTCCCTTATGAGTCGCATCCACGTCATGTTGCCATAGTCTCCCCAATAAAACATGACAGGTAACCATTTCCAACACATCATATATTACCTCTTCCTTATAGGTCTTCCCAATGGAGATAGGAAGCCTACAAATATCTGTCACTTTGATTGTTGGACCTTTTTTGATCCAACCAATCTGGTATGGTCTTGGATGTGGTTCTATGGTTAGGTTCAAGTGACTGACTAAGGCCTTTGACACAAGGTTTTCACAACTGTAATTATCTAGGAATAAGGTACAAACCTTTTGGTTGATCAAACACTTGGACTGAAAGATTTTGTTGCGTTGTGATGTATCTTGTACCTTTGGAGAACATAGAATCCATTAGATCACAAAAGTTATCAGTTTACCTTCAACTTCAGCATACTTATCCACATCTTCATTAAACTCCTCTGTTACAACACTTTATTACTCCCAATTTGGCATAGGGGTTATTGTTGGCTTTAGGGGCTTAACTCGTACTTGCTCTATTAATTCAACTTCTAGTAGGCACTTCTGGCCCTTTTTGGGTTGTAGATGATCTATTAGGGAGGTTTGTATGGGTTTGGATATCGTCAACATGAAAATCAGCCAATATGGCATATCTTTGTTTTGGACACTAATTGGATCGGTGACCCTCTTCCCCACACCTATAATACTTTATCACTCCCAGTTTGGCATATGGGTTGTTGTTGGCTTTAGGGGATTAACTCGTATTGACTTTATTAATTCCACTCCCAGTAGGCACTTCTGGCCCCTTTTGGGTTGTAGATGATCTATTAGGGAGGTTTGTTTGGGTTTGGTTTGGGCGAGTCACATAATTACCTGAGTAGGTTGTCTCGTTTGTTGATCGAAGAGGATCATAGGTGGGTCTAGACATCAACCTTTCCGCCTTTAGGGCTAGGTTAGGAGCTTGATCGACATACCAAATAGGTTGTAGTCCCATACTGTCCTGGATGTTATACTTAAAACCATTGATGTATTGAGCCTCCTGCTGTTCATCAGTCTCATTCAGGTCGCATTTGCACTGTAGTCGCATAAAATCTGCTATGTAGTCTACGATAGATCGATTTCCGTGAGTGAAATTATGATACTGTTGGTATAGGATATGTTCATAATTAGGGGGTAGGAATCTTCCCTTGATTAACAACTTTATTCAATACAACTCTTGCACTAGATGCTTTCCTTCTCGCCTTTTTCCCTCCTGGACATGGTCCCATCAAGCTCCGGCCCCGACTTCGACGCGAAGTTTGTAAGCGACAATATTCACCTGGTGATTTTCTAGGATGTCCATGATATTGAAGAATTTATTTACTTCATACAACCAATCAAGGACACCTCTAGGTCAAGATTCCCATTGAAGTTACGAATCTCAGCCTTAATACGGTAACTTGGCCCGTAATCACCATGCCGATTGTCAAAAATTTCTTCATCTTCATCATTTGAAAAGTCATTCACTTGGGTTGCGTAGTTATTTGAGTTGGGCAGTGAGAGCATCTACTTCCCGCCAAAGATCCTCAACCGTGCGACCCCCACCATTAGGGTTTGGTTGTGGACCACCTTCAACTCCGTTCGCTATCAGGATGCAAACATGCTCTGATACCAAATTATGCAGAACAAAAGCAAACAATAGGGAGAAACTCAAGCATTTTTATTACTGAAAATCAAGATGCCTCTAAAGGCTTACAAGAACCCATTATATAAGGTGATGCTAAATTTGGTAGGTACGACCAAATTTGGAAAACAGAAATTGACAATAAATTCTAATAAATAACCTTCTAAATAGGAAAGAAAATTTCAAAATATAGGGAAAACGAATATTCTGCCATTAAAACAGAATAAAAACAAAAATTGTTTGAAAATTATAGAAAACTGAGATTTGGGGCCAAAACAGTGGAATTTGAGGGTCAACCATGCTGTAGGTCAACTTCGTCTACTTGTGAGGAGCTCCGGTCCGTCGAAACCTTTTTGTCGATATATGACACGCCTCAAAATTCCTTACAGATCAAAAATTATGCCCGTTTTAAGTTTGGCCTATTTTGGCCCCGTTTATCTTTCTCCTACTTGTCCATAAATGCTTCTGTCATATCATCTATGTGATCCGCATCAATATGGAGCTTAATAAGCACATGGTAAAGAACCGTTATCCACTTTCAAGGATCGATGACATATTCGATCAGCTTCAGGGTGCATCTTGGTACTCCAAGATTGTTTTTATAGTGGGGTTATCATCAAGTGAGGGTCATAGAGGAGGATGTGCATAAGATGACCTTCAAGACCCAGTACGACCATTATGAGTTTATGGTGATGCTATTTGGGCTCACTAATTCACCCACCATGTTCATAAACCAAATGAACCGTGTATATAGGCCTATGCTTGACCGATCGATGATCATGTCCCTTGATGATATTATGGTCTTTTCGAAGACCAATTAGTGGCATGAAGAGCATTTGTGGGAGGTTCTCCAGGTTTTGAGGAGGGAGAGGCTTTATGCCTTCAAGTGTCAGTTCTTTTTATGAGAGGTCCACTTTTGGGGCATATCATCAATCATAAGGGTATTATGGTTGATACGAAAAAAATCGAGGCAATGATGTAATGCGAGGTCCCGACAACTCCTTCTGAGATTTAGAGTTTTCTTGGTCTAGTTGGGTATTATAGGAGGTTCATTTAGGATTTCTCCAAGACTGTTGTGCCATTGACCCATTTGACTAAGAAGGGTGTTGTTTTCTGATGGGGCCCGAAGCAACAGACAACATTCGAGACTCTGAGGCAGATATTATGTGAGGCTCCACTGAGGGTATTGATGATATGATAGTTTATTGTGATGCATCGATTATGAGATTGGGATTCGTTCTTATATAACGAGGTCGTGTGATCGCTTATGCCTTGAGACATTTTAAGCAACATGAGGCTAATTACCCAAAGCATGATTTGGAGTTAAGAGCAGTGGTATTTTCTCTCAAGATTTGGAGGCACTATTTATATGGGTTTTGGTGTACCATTTACATGGACCACGAGAGCTTGAGATATTTGTTGGATTAATCAAATCTGAACATGCGACAATGCAGATGATTGAATATAGTGAAAGACTACGACTTCAAGATTCTTTATCATCTACACAAGGCCAACATGGTGGCCGATTCATTGAGTTGGGAGCCGAATAGTGCACCCATTTAGAATTTATGTTTAAGGATAACAATGATTACTCCATTTTTGGATTTGATTAAAGGGGCGCAAACCGAGATGGTTAAGAAGGAAAATACGAGAGGATTGTGGAACAAATTTCAGCTTTTGATATAGATAGTTGTGGGTAGTTGAATTTGAATGGTTGAGTTTGAGTTTCGTATTCGGGAGGGGTCCGACAAACATTGATTGATGAGGCCCATAAATCCAAGTTCTCGATTCATTTGGGTGTGATGAAGATATACATGGACCTAAGATATGATTATTGGTGACCATGCATGGAAAATGATATGACATGGTACATCGAGAGGTGTTTGACTTGTCGAAAAGTCAATGCCGAGTATCAGAGGCCTCATGGAAAACTGCAATCGTTACACATCCTATTATGGAAATGGGAGAAAATTAATATGGATTTTATCATGAAGCTACCAAAGATTTCTCATAGATTCGATACTATTTGAGTTATTGTGGAAAGATTGACCATGAGCGCCTACTTGAGAGTTTGTGTATTGTGGAGAGAAGAAATACAGAGTTCTCAATTTGTTTTGGATAGATGAATTGGCAAATTCTATTTTTCTGTGTATATGTATCAATTGTTAAAATATGTAAATGAATTAGAGAAGATTGTAAATTGTTTGGACGACGATGAAATAAGAGAAAAGAGGAACCATATTTCTTTGAAGTAGATCGGAATCCCACCTTCCCACCAAACCGCATAAATATGAATGTTTTGGCTTATTTTCTTTCTTACTTACGATGTTATTAACGATTTAATAGTTTGTTGACTTGTTCACAATGAATTGACGCTGATTTTAATTCTTGGTGGGTTCGTAACTCAAAGTGGTTTTACATTCAATCAATTAATAATTCAAGTTGCTTCCATAATGTTTTCAAAAGAGTAAAAATAAAGCTATATGTGTGGGATATTTATTAAAAATAATCTTTCGGAATCATGGAATATGGAATGATAACCTACTTTTTGTGTTAATAAAATGACCATTGGACTACTTCCTATCAATTTTATGTCAAATTAAAATTACATTTTCTGATAAAAAAATCATTTCAAATTCAAATCTCGGATTGCAAAAATAAATAAATCTCCCTTCTCCCTATTCTAATAAATGAATATAGATTTATTCTCCTATTAACAAATGTTATTATATTAGAACTCCTCATTAATTATACATTTCAAAATAAATCTCCCTTCTCCCTATTCTAATAAATGAATATAGATTTATTCTCCTATTAACAAATGTCATTATATTATAACTCCTCATTAATTATACATTTCAAATTTTAAAATTCCCATCTAATTACATTAAATTTTAAATTTCAAATTTTAAAATTTTTCACTTTAATTATATTAAATTAATAACATTACAATAAAAAATAAAATAAAGTTAATACAGATTATAAGGTGATATAACTTCACGTATTTATTTAAATCAACGATTATAATTTTATATAACTAAAAAAATATCTATTAAGTAATATTTATTTAAAACAATTGATTAATAATTTTGATTTTTTAATATGAAAAATTAATTAATTTTATAACCGTGGTTCTCACGGGTTATAAACTAATAAATAAATAAAAACACATATGAAACCGATAGAGAGATCCGAAATTTCAAGTAAAGGCTTGGTGGTTTTATTGAAATCTAACAAGAATAAACATAAATAAAAATAAGTAAACAGACATAAAATTTGACATTTTTATAAAATCAATGACATTAGATATTTCAAAATGACAGTTTTGGAAATTGGTAGAGTTTTCTAAAAACTGATTGTTGTGAATGAGAAAAAAAATACACGTTGTATACTAATTTAAATCTAAAATACACAATTCGAAAATAATCGTTATTTTGGAAATGCCAAAAAATTAGGTCATTTAGGCATATTTTTCCGATTAAGGTTAATGGTTTTATTTAGAAAATGTTGTTAAATAAAATTTCGACAAGCGAGGTCTTGATCGATGTGGACTCGTTCCTTTGTGAGATTTGCAATAATTAGGAGGAAAATGTGGAACATATTTTTCTGTGATACCCGATTTTGATAGCTATTTGGTCACAGATCACTTGTTGGTGGACTGGAATATGCCTTCTATTGCTAATATTGCATATTTGTGTTGTTGGTTAGATAACCTTAAGATTATGGGGCTTTAGAAGAAAGGTCTTAATACGGTGCTTATTACAGCATGCTAGAGCATGTTCAAGTTTCGTAACAAAAGAATTTTTACAGCCGTATGGGAACGTCAACTTATAACCTAACCGGGTAGGTTATTTTACAAAATTCTATGTTAGCCACTGTTTCATTGTAATTATTTTTCTAAATTTTTTCTAGTATTTCTAATAAATCTCCTCCATTCAAACAGATAAATAATAATAATAATCTTATCCGTCTTGTTTACGTAATATGTATCATGTAATATACTACATATAATACGATAATATGCATTGTTTCATATCTTTTTTATTCATACTATGTCATACAATATAACATGCTTTTATACTATTTTCCGTGGTTTACACATTCGCATCACAAGTCAGAGTTCAACTCATTCCCTTTCGATTTATAATAGGAGTGATGTATTTCAACCCGCAAAAAATCTATCTGATTTTCTTACCATATCCATTTTACCTTTTTTTTCCTAGAAAGAAAAAAATATATTATTTTAAGTAGGACAAGCCCATGCCCATTAATGATGTATCGACTTTTTCCCTGTTTGACCTTCTCCCCACGTTACCTTTTTTATCTGAGCTTGGTGCATACCATGCCTACCCTAAAACCCCCTACTTTTTTTTTCAAATATCTTTTCCACTATTTTTCATACATTACTGCTACAGTCTTCACCC